ATATCCCTCAACACAATATTTAATTTGAACCAATTTTACGACAAAAGTGTACATACAAATACATATCCAAAAAAAAGGTGTAAGTAAACAGACATTTAAAAATGTTTGAAACTGCAGAAAAATCCACATTTACTAAAAAAATTGTAGCTATAATGTTCATATTCTTCAGTGCACTAATTATTGCTAGAGGTTCTAATAAAATGGAGAACATGCTTATTTACATTCTCATATGGACACCAACAGTTTACGGACCTTTTGATGCCTTCTCCATGGGGCGGAAAGATTTTGAGAAATGCACATTTAACAACTGCTTTTTTACCGTAAATCGCAGCTATTTGAAAAACGTAGTGGAATTTGATGTCATTATGTTTAACATATGGCAAATTTCCGTTGAACACTTAACCAATGAAAGCGGTGTGGATGTACCTTTCAACCGATCTGAAACACAAAAGTATTGTTTGGTCGCTATAGAACCCGCGGCGTACCATCCGATTTTCGAAACGTGGAATGGGTTTTTTAATATGACATTCACATTCAAGCTCACATCAAATGTTTCAATTCCTTATGTTGTAGTACGGGATCAGAACGATGAAGTGATTGGACCTAAAGTTGATATGAATTGGATGAAGTCGAGTGAAATGAATGAAACAAGCGATTATGTTAAAAATAAACTACAAAACAAGCATATTGCTGTAGCGTGGATCGTGTCTCACTGCGACACACCGTGGCGATTTTTTTATGCCCAACATTTGGAAAAAGAATTAGCTCATTATGGACACAAACTACATATTTTTGGGAAATGCGGTGCTATTCCGTGTCCCAAAGAAAGGAAAATGGAGGAATGTTTTGCTTCTATAGAATCAGATTACTATTTTTATTTATCATTTGAGAATTCATTCGGTGAAGACTATGTCACTGAAAAGATTTTGAACGGTTTAGAACACTTTGCAGTGCCTGTGGTTTTTGGAAGTGCGAATTATAGCAGGTACGTGGTAAGCGTAGCGTAATAATCATCTTGAATTTAATTCAAAGGAAATAGGGAAGTAGTCATAAAACAGGTAAGCGTCCACAAACATTCAAAAGAAATTCGTTGAACGCGAGGCCGTTAAAAGAAAAATAACTTGAATTATCCTGCGCGTTTTTAAAAACTTAAAATATTTTTTTTAAACGTAACTTTACATATATTTAAAGTTATTTCAACTGACCATTTAGGTAAGTAACTAAATTAGTTAAAAAATTGTACATGACTTAAAATCTTTCATACATTCACAAGTAAACCCAAGGTGCCTAATAGGTGTTGTGTGAATGAATGCAGAAATTATGACCCTAATTCACAAGTAGATTGTATAAGGTTTTCAACGAATTGGAATAAAACGGTTATTGATTTTGGGTACGCTTTTAACTTTTGCAGGTTTATGCCTGAAGGAATTTACCTGGATGCCAATGTGTTAGCACCGAATCAAATGGCGGAAAAAATGAACGAAATTATAAACGATAATAATAAATACTATGAATTTTTCAGATGGCACGATCATTATAGTTTTCACTTGTCTAGTGAGGATCGGTATAGTACCGCAGTCTGTAATTTGTGTGCTTTTCTTAATAACAATAAAAACAATACTAGCATTCTGGATAATATTGCTTTCTGGTGGAACGTAGAATGGCCTCCTTGGCCAGAGGAAATCGATGAACCAAATGAAGTGGAGCAGATTGTCAGAAACTTTTTAAATGTTTTGGATCCATCCTCGGATGATTGAACGTATCAAGCGCCCACAGTTCCTACGATCAGAATCCCATTTTTAACCTGGTATTCTCGTCACAATAAATAAAGATTTTTTATATCAGTGTGTTGAATTCTACTTTTTTTTTATAAACAAAGAAACCCTTTTATAGAGATTACAATATTTGTAAGTTTTAATACAATATCAAAAATCACAATATCCTCCTGAGACCCAGCAAACTACAATGGGAAAAGCAATTTCGTGGCTGTAGAACGTACTGTGAAAGAGTTTGTCCAAGGATGTACTGCCTTACCTATTTCTGCGAGCAATTACTGTGTTCCGGTTTTGAAGGGTGCTGGTGAAATTATAGGCATATGGGTATTTTCAACTTATGTTTCAGGGTGACGGGTGCAGTGGCAGTACCCCTCAGACCTTTGCGATGTAAAGCTCTGAACGGCACTGCAAATATGGTGGAGTCGCTTACCCTCTGGCGCACGAATTGTTCATTCCGACAGTTGGTATCATAAAAAAATCTCTAAACGCCTTTAGTACAATCAACAGCACACCAAGCTGTACACTTTTGTTTGAATATCGCCTTCAGTTCAACGGAACAAGATCCGTCAATATGTAGATGTCTGTGCGTTAAAATGTATTAAATATAATAGTAACATGCTTCAGGCGCAACCAAGTATGCCCTCAGTTTAGTATGAAAAACAGGTTTTTGTAGATAATAATAATAATTACGCACACACTCAACATAGCCCCGTACTAGATAAAAACCCTGCGTCGCATGCCATTGACACAGAAAACCACAAATTACACCCAAACTCACGAGAGAAATAAATGTAGGCCATACAAATATTTCTCCCGGCCCGGGAATTGACCCTGGGACCTCTGCGTGGTAACCGTTCGGCTACAGAGGCAGTTAATACGAAGATTAGAAGTTAAGGTACTCTGTATTTTCATTTAGAATATAAACCATAAAATTTAAATTCGATATTTTCATTATAATGTACACTGGGTACTTACGTGATCATACATAGGAATAATATAATAATCCTGTCTGGATCAGATTCACTTCACATTGCGAAGAGGATATAGCAGATGAGGCTAGGCCCCTATCACGAGTTTATTGTGAAAGTTCTCGCTAGCAACCGCGTAAATTACTTCACGTTTTTGTCACTGTAATCTCATGGTAGAGGCACAGTTCACCGTATATGCAGTTTCAGGCCTTATATGTTACACATCGAGCTATAGAAAAGACATTTGCCTGATTTCGGCTTTGTAGAGCGTCGTTTCTGTCACTCATACCTGTTTGACATTTTGTAGTTAATTTCTTTCTATCTAGTTAATTTGACAGTCATGTGGCGGAAATGGTGCTCTGTCTATCTAAAACCGATAGTAGTCGATTATAACCGAGAGTCTTTTTTTAAAACTCGATGTGTAATATTTAATTTCACATTATCATACGCTAACGTCGCAAGACGATCGAGACCGAATCTTCGGGTCGGGATGACTTAGCATTTCGAGGTTTGGATCTCGATGTTCGTTTTCGATAATACGTACACGTCTTTTACAATTACTATTACCTATGTAACTATTGAATATTTTACAATAATTCAACGTTCTTTGATTACTTTTTACTTATGAGTAGTACTACTCGTAATCAATTCATTGTCAACAGAAAGATAAGCCGGCTAGTACTTTTATTTTTAATAAAGTGGCAGTTCTGATAACTGTCACTCGTCTCCCATCGTCTCGTCTGCCACTGCCAGACGTCTTTATGTTGTTTCTTTTTGATTAGGTATACATTCTATTCATAACGCATTCATCAACGTAGTATTTGTATTAATTTGTGCAGCCTATATGCTAAGTGCACTCGCAGGTCTTTGGGCGCGCCACAGAACAATAAATACAATAGAAGAAGTTAGTTAGCGTCTGACGCGTGCCAACTATCGTATAGGTCTCGAAAGACCTATTTGAGCTCAGTTCGCAGTTTTGAGCCATTTTCGCTTTGTATGGTATGGTTGTGTCATTCTTTCGTGCAAATTCTCTAGAATCGTAGAAAAATGCCTTATTGTGCTGTTTTGGAGTGCAAAAATGATAGCAGCACCAAAAATATTATCCGTGGTTGTAAATTTTCAATTGTCTGTTTATCGACATAATTTTTTCGTTAGAGTTATCGCGTAACATACACACAAAAAAATACAGTCGAATTAAGAACCTCCTCCTTTTTTTTTGAAGTTGGTTAAAAATTACATTAAATTTAAAACTGAAGATTGAACGACAAATATATATATATCTACCTTACTTGCCAGGCATATGAATGTGGTTAATAGATGTTTACTATTGCGAATTGCTTAAGTGTAAAGAGCAATTCTCAAAAGCGTGAACAATGGCAAAATTACAATACCGTTTTTTAAATTTAAATTTTTTTTTTCAAAACAATCAAAAATATTATTCAACACTCTCAGTAAAATGTAACTCATTATTAGGTAATGTTATTGTATCAGTTAATTAGGTTTCAATATAGGTATTTACTACGGCTTATACATACTTTAGTATATTTAATTTTGAATACATATTGACTGAGTTTTCAGACGTGTACTACCTAAAAACTAAGTGTAATAAAAAATCATAAGAAAATGTTTGAAATAAAAGAAATAACTAAATTTACTAGGGTTATATTTGCTACAATGTTAATAATTTTCACTACATTCAATGCAAACGGATATAACAAAACGAAGAATGACTTTATTAACATCCTTATTTGGACACCTCCAGAGTGGGAACCATTTGATCGTATTCCTATGGGGCATGAGGCTTTCGAGAATTGCACTTACAACAATTGTTTTATTACTGGAAATCATCATTATTTAAAAAACATAATGGATTACGATGTCATAATGTTTAATGTTGTTCATATAGGTCTTGCAAACTTCGATAATGAGAGTAGTTATGGTTTACCTTCCAACCGATCTGAATCGCAGAAATATTGTTTGTTTGCTTGGGAACCTCCAGGCTTTCATACTATTTCACAATCATGGAACGGCTTTTTTAATATGACTTTCACATTTAAATTCTCATCGAACGCTTCGATACCTTATGTAGTAATAAAGAATCAATACGATGAGATAATTGGGCCGAAACTTGACATGCATTGGATGGAGATGAGTGATATGAATGAAACAAGTGATTATGTCAAAAACAAACTGCAGAACAAGAATATCGCAGTGGCGTGGTTGGTGTCTCACTGCGATACACCTTGGCGATTTTTTTACGCCCATCATTTGCGAAAAGAATTGGCTCAATTTGGACACAGGTTGGACATTTATGGGAGATGTGGTGTTCCATGTGCACGTGAAAGGATGGATGATTGTTTGGCTTTAATAGAATCGGATTATTATTTTTATTTAGCTTTTGAGAATTCATTTCATGAAGACTATGTCACTGAAAAACTCACCATTGCCTTGGAACATTTTGCAGTGCCCGTGGTTTTTGGAGGTGCTAATTATAGCAGGTACGTATGGAACGTAGTAATTTCATAAATGTTGTTTTTAATATTGAAAGACTCTCTCTCTCTCTCTCTCTCTCTCTCTCTCTCTCACTAACACTCTCTCTATGTGCGGGTGTGTGTGTGTGTGTGTGTGTGTGTGTGTGTGTGTGTGTGTGTGTGTGTGTGTGTGTTGTGTATGCTCTTGTTCATTTTTAATATTGTGACTCAGGCGAGGATTTCGGCCATAGTCCGCCACATTGACCAAGATTCTCAAGAAGTACAATTATTTTACTTGGGCCATATTCATGACAATATTTTCTGACCGAATGGTGTGAAAAAATTGTTGATATCATGAACGCGATTAATGAGAGCTATAACAACTGTATAAGATGTCCAGTATTTTTAAGTTACTTATACGACCACCAGCTCTACATATGTGCTCATTTTACGATTAAGTCATGCTACCTGGGGGCTGTTACTTGTTGTACCTTAATAAAGTTTTGTAAGTGGAATCCCTAACGGTCGTAACCCGTTTGCCTTGTTTACGACAAACCCTACTTACTGTTCTTAGCTTCGTACTTGACATTGTCTAGTCGATTATTACTTATTTGACAGTAATTGTTTCGGGCGGATGTAGGCCGGAGAACAAGAGTAGACTCTCTGGAAACGATCGTGTGTCGTAACGGCCGTCGTTTCGGTTCGGATTCGGCAGCTAGAGAACAAAAAGTAACGAGAATGGACACTCTTCGCCCCTCCCTAGCTTTAGATACCGCACCACGTCCCGCACATTGACGGTCATATTGACGGAGCGGCAATAAGGCTGTCTGATATTTGAATATAGTTTTCATTTATTCATTACGAAACTTGTACCTTACTATTTATAATGGTCGTGAATTGTGTTGTATACGACTGTTTATCATCATCTAAATGGGATAAAGAGAGGAGTTTCTTTCATTTTCCGGAAGATGAACCGTATCGTAATAGTACGAGAAAGTGAAAGGTAACCCTGCCACTTCACGCACACATTTGCGTGTGTGCAGATAGCGCCTTATTGTATGTAGTAGTAGGTAAATAACTTTTGACCGTTGTATGGAGGGTCCAAATGCGGTGGAACATGTGAATTCCTACAATTTCATTTATTTATTTATTTTAAAAGAAAGACCAACAGCTTAAAACTAGCTTATATAATAATAGTAATAACTGAGAGCCAGTTACAGATCCTCACAAATAGAAACATAATATAAGAATGCACAATTTATCAAGCCTGTCGCTATAAACATAACTTAATACGTAAACCATAAAACTACAACCGCAGTTGTAAGCCTATTAGTCAAAGAAATGCCCCCTCAGTGCCTTCTTCGAAATCGCACTCATCTTGAAAATATCCGAATCGATGGAAGTACATAGAATATTACAATTATTACTTGGACGCCTCATAAACTCATAGTTAGAACCAAAAGTGAATTATTTCTCAAGGATTTACAGGGAACTCTAAGTGATATTTGTGATTATAATTCCGGACAATAAATTGAACCTGATGCTATTTTCATTTGCTAGGTGCCATGTAATTTAGTGGTACTGTGTGAGATCTGCCTAAAACTGCATAACTAACCGAGGATCGACTAGACCACATAAATTGTTAGAATAAATAAAACGATTACAAAAGAAATCTTATTTGTATTAATATTAGGGTTTCACTTAATCATTGTCCTCCACTAATTCGTATTCTTAGTGCAATTCGGCCGCACCTGCAAAATGTTTCTTTTCTTTTTTTGAGAGACATTTTAATATATTACGAACGAATAGGTCGATAACTTTTGTATGTTTATTTAAATGTGCTGCAAAATGTCATATATACGAGTACATAATTTGTTTCATGTAACTTTCAAGTGACAAAAGCACTCTTATCACATTATGATCACATGTGACTTTAGTTATACCAAGAGATTGCAGTTAAGAACAATGGCGGGCTGTCAGTGCAAGCACGAATTGGCACATAGACTACAGCTAGAATTATAAATTCAGTTGTTAATTGTACCTTAGGATACCTTAATTTTATGGCACTATTTAAGTATTGTACGAATTTCTCATTTGAATTTGCTTTTGACATAACTATGTCAGGAACTTTTAAAAATGTATTAGGTACCTACATAGAAACATGAACAATATCCTAGCGTTCTTTAAATTTTAATTTTTGTTTAATAACAATAATGAATATTTACCAACAATTTCATTGACATGTACAAATGTACGTGTAATAAACGTTTACATTGTTGTTTTACTTAATTGCTTATTCATATTCGTACCATTAAGACATAGCTCAATATTAAATTTTTGATCACACGAAGAAAGTTTTAAGACGTGCGTATATGTAACCTGCAATAAGTAGTGACAATAAAAAAGTCTACAATGTTTAAAATAGAAGAATGTATTCGATTTAATAGAATATTCACTATAATGTTTATAGTTTTCGGTGTCAGTGGATATAACACGACGCAGAACAGACTTATTTACATCCTTTTATGGACGTCTGGGGAATGGGAGCCGTACGATAAAATCCCTATGGAACGAAAAGCTTTTGTGAACTGTACCTTTGATAACTGTTTTCTTACTAGAAACCGTACATATTTGAATAATATAATAGATTATGATGTTCTAATGTTTAATGTTTGGCATGTTGGCATTGCGAACTTAGATGTCGAAAGTAGTGCGAATTTACCTTCAAATCGCTCTGAAACACAGAAATATTGCATGTATGCTGTGGAGCCACCAGGTTATCATCCAATTTATGCACCATGGAATGGATTTTTCAATATGACATTCACGTTCAAACTTACATCAAATGCTTCGATTCCTTATATAGTAATAAAGAATCAGAATGATGAAGTGATTGGGCCTAAAGTCGATATGCATTGGATGAAGTTCAGTGAAATGAACGCAACAAGTGATTACGTCAAAAGTAAACTGCAGAATAAGCATATCGCTGCAGCGTGGATTGTATCTAACTGCGAAACACCTTGGCGTAATTTTTACGCCCGCCATTTGCAAAAAGAATTGGCTCGATATGGCCACAGATTGGATATTTACGGGCGATGCGGTTCTCCGTGTCCCCGTGAAAGAATGGAGGAGTGTTTAGCTCTAATAGAATCAGATTATTATTTTTATTTATCATTTGAAAATTCATTCGGCGATGATTATGTAACGGAAAAGATTTTACACGGTCTAGAACATTTTGCTGTGCCCGTGGTTTTTGGTGGCGCGAATTATAGCAGGTATGTGTATAGCGTAGTATTTGAATCTCATATCATAGTATGTTATCATTTAGTTTACACAAAATGGTGTGTATTGTTCTATAGATTGGATTTCTTGTTAGAATCTTTAAAGGGTACATACCTACGTCAAGTTTTGTTATCTATAAAAAGATTATATGTGACCTGTAAACGGCCCGAAAAATGTAAGTGAATTTTATTAAATAAATAAATAAATTTTGTAGAGATTATCGATGTGAATGAAAATGTCTTGTCCACTGCGCCTTGCGACGCAATTACGATGATGTTCTAGTTGCTTCATTTTAATAACGTAAGATGGTATAGTACTGCCCGAAACGTCGGTTTGTTTGACAAACAAATACACGCGATATAAATCCGGAAAAATAGTTACATTTCCTAAAAGATTATATAATTACAAATGAGCATTTAAAAGTTCACTACTTCCTTTGAGATGAGGTCAAGGCCGATTTCTAACTTGATTGTTCAATTTTGTTGTAACCCGACTCTAATAAGAAATAAAGCTGATGACGCTTCGTAACGGCGAACATGATGGGGTTTTGCAAGGAGGTCAAGATTTTTTAGTAATGAAGAATATGATAATGTAGAACAACAACGCAGTAGCATATTTTTCGAAGTTTCTGGAATTGGAGCCATCAACAAAATGTTAGAAGTTTTACCACAAATATGCGTACTAAAATAGTTTTCTCTTACTATTTCTTATCTGCTAAGATGATTGACGTTACCCTAAAACATTCATACTGCTTGTTGGAGGTACTTAAAGCACTATAAATTGGAAATGTGGTTTGAAAACCATGTTTTCTGATCTAAATCACGTATATTGGTTTTTTCAAACAAATTAACGTTTTGGGTGTTTTACAGATCCCATAATCACGGCTGACGGTTTTGTTTGAAAAATCAAATACACTCGTTTTAGTTCCGATTTGCTGAAAAAAAAGACCGGTTTTAATTTCCAATGTGTAGCAATTGCGAAAACTTTACAACTCTATTGGTTCTATAAAGTTGTTATAAATAGATTTTGTAGACCTACTAGATGTGCACGAAACGAACCTCCCCGCAATGACGTACGAATCGTATTCCTTGTAAGTTTGACGAAACCTGGGCAACAATCGGCGGGAACCTTACGTCGATTGGCAAATCCTTTCATCACGATGACAAACATATTCCATGCACAGCTCAGCATGGCGACTTCTTATAGTTGGATCAGCGTGGCTAAGTTCTGGGCCACGATAAAATAGTGAATGCCATCGATACCATAAGAAAAAGACCTACTATTTTCTAGTCGATTGTAGTTTGAGATGATATCTTGAAGGATATACTGGAAAATGGAAGTAAAGTCGCAAATTGATGGTCGTCGCTTGAACACTATAAGAATTGCGTACATAACTTCACAAAGAAATTTTCAATATGCTAATGAAATAGACGTATTCAACATTATGAAAGATATTTTTTATTCTACAACAATCATAAATATCGTTCATAACAAAACTATTGCCTTAGACACACAGTGTCTCTTTGTTTTCTGATATTCCTTTTAATTACATACAATGTTTGTAATGTTAGCTACGTCTTAATATAAACTATGTGTTAATATTGCACACACTATTTTTAATTTAGAAAAAAGTATAAAGACGTGTGTAGTTACGTGGTAAATATAATAATATAGTGCAAATAACAACCTAAAGTGAAAATGCTTGAAACAAAAGAAAAAACCAGACTCACTGTGATAATAATGGG